GGTGAGGAAACGGGAGACACTGAAAATGCAAGAGCCCAGGCGAAATCCACCAAGGAAGGTCTCCGACGAGGAGGCAGGGCGTTGGGATGGAAGGTTCAGTAGGAGATGAGTCTGGCAACAAGGAAGGATTCTAGGCTCTTGGAGACAGAAATGATGGGAGAGAATGTTCAGTCAGACACATCTAGGACTCTGAAGTGGGGAAGAGGGAAACCATGGAGGCAAATGTGGGACGGCCTCGGTTTTCTCAGGAATTAGGAGACAAGACCATGGGTGAGCTGTGGATTGGCCACTGTTGGTGTGTTAGGCAATCTACACAAGATGAATAAAAGGATCAGAAAGCAGCAGCGAAGGCGCAGCTGAAGCTAAGTAGTATAAACTTTTGGTGAAGCCATTCTCCCGGCACTGTTACATGATTTTGTTTCCTTGGAAATCTTGCTGGGACCCATTAGCAGAAGCAGGGAGAGGGATGCTGTGGTAAGGGTGGGTAAGATGGGAAGAGCAGAAGAGTAGAGTTGTGAAGGAAGTGAATGAGACCAGAATTGCTGAAATAGCTCATGATAGGCACTGGCCCAGGCTGAGCAGGCTGGGTGTGGCCGGGGTGGGTACAATGGCTGAGAAGAACCAAAAGGCCGTTAATGAGGGCAGGCAGGGTTCCACTCAAGAAATGAGAGGAGGCTGAGAAACCCAAGCCAGGCGAGGGCAAGCACAGATCTCTGAAAGGACCGGTTCACAGAGGGGTTTTCTGTAGGTCAATTCTTTTCTACCTAAAAAAACAGGCAAAGAAACTCAGATATGCCAAGTACCTTGTGAGGCTCAACCACAGAGGGAAGGAATAATACTCAGTTCCAAAGGAGGACACTAGTCACCTCGTTTAGAAGTGTCAGAATTAAAGTTTTCTTGTAAATAAAATTTCACGACCCTAAGCATAATGCTGGGAAAAGGGCCCAGGTGAGAAGGGGAATGTGCCTGGTGGAATTATCTGTTCAGGAGGCCTGCCTAACCTGCTGCCCTGTAAGCCTGTGAGCCGAGCTCACCTCTGCCTCAGCATCGGTGCCTAGCACAGAACAGGTCTCGACAACCATTTGTCAAACGAACAAAAGAAAGAACAAAGAAATTGTAAGGTCAGTTTCTAACCAGCCAAAAGAGACTGTTCTTCCTGGACATATGTCACTCAATATAAAGAATGATGACTCTCCAAGGAAATTTAAAATGCAAGCAAACAGAGTCCAAGGAGAGGGGGATTAGTCCCAGCAGCGTATGTGCTTGGGGTCAGGGGTTGGTTTATCAGTTCTCGCGTGTGTCCACACACACCACACTGCAGGAGACCCACCAGCCAGAGGTTAGCCTTCCCTTTGGGAATACGTATTTTCAGAGAGCTGACTTAAGCAACTAAACCTCTAGATACTGTTGCTGAAGGAGTGAAGGAATGAGCAAGTTTAAGTGAATATGGCAGACATAATAATAGCAAACGCACTTCCTCTCCCTAAGACTGGACCATTCCTGAGAATCGTGTCTTTGGTTGTAACAAGAGAGAAAACAGGGATTCAGACCATTGTTGGCTTCTGGGAAGGTTTTAAACTCACTAAAGCCCGGGGCATCTCCAGTCAAAAAGTAAGCCTCTGGCCTGTAAGTAGTAAGTCACTTGAGGGAGAGTGGGCAGGAAGATGAACTTGTTTGTAAGGAAGGGCCTTGAAAAGAACAGTCTAAAGAACTATATCTTCTAAGTGATCAGGATTTGGGGAATTCTAAGATAGCATCACACACAGAAATGGCAGAAAAACATGGAAGCAGGGCAGGCTCCTGTGTGAGGACTGCTCTGAGAGCTTGAACTCAGAGTACTTCAACTTTGGGGCAATTGTCAACACTCAACCCTCAGTGCCCTACTAGCACGGGGCCATTGTCAATATCTCTTTCCAAGGAGCACCAGCCCACTTTTTCAAAGAAAAAAAACAGTTTTAAAATTATATCTGAGTTTGAGGAGAAGAAGGAGAGAGAGAGAATGTGCATGTATAGTTTATGCATTTCAAATTTCTTACTAAAAGTAATGTAATAAATGGAAAAGGGTAAATTCATAAGTGTGTGGGACAGTAGGAATAACTGACTATGGGGAAGAAAAACTTAACTACCATAGGAAAACAGGTAATAGCTAAACAAAATTATTAAAAGCATGGTCAAAAAGCTTCTTGGGACAGATTGACTTATCCAGGATAACACGCATGTGTTTTACAGTATTACAGAGGGAGTAAAATCACTTCTGGGATGGGGGATAATTGTAGAATGAACTGATACGCAGCTTCAACCTTGAATTTCAGCCAGATATGCTCTTTGGCTGTGGCTATGGAAGCCTGAATAGGCAAATGCCTCCACCAGCATCATTCCTGGTATCCCTGGTCCTGTGCGTGGTCAGTGGTCCTGGGAGTGTGTGTGACTCTTATCACATCTGATCAGCATCATGACCTCAGAAAAACAAACAAGCCATGGCATCTAGACTTAATGCTAATACCTAAATATTCAGTTTAGCTAATAATAAAAGTCTGTTCCTACGATATAATGTCAGACTTTTAAAATCTGACTACTAAAATGTTAAATACAGAAACTGTGATTATAATTTAAAATTTTGATAAATTTTTCAGATTTACTCTTATATTCTGTAAGTTTGTTCTATGATGGTGATATTTGGCTTCAACCCTATATTGGTATATTGATGTATATACTCAGACATTCAACCAAAATGTGTACTGTCTCTAATATTAATTAGCATGTGTAACATAAAATGTTCAGTAGTATCCTTAAAAATAATCATCTTCATGGGCAACAATGATAAAATGGGAAATGTCATATTCCTAAAATAAACCCTGAGCCCTGATATATTCTTTGTCCACAAAGAATCCAAATGCAAGAGGAACATTTTTGTTTCTCTCCCACATCTGACCTAAGACCGATTCTCTATTGTCCTCTACCACCACTCCCAAAATGCTTCTTCCTCCCAGACTACGACCTGCCATTCTCCCTCAGCTCAGTAAGAAAAAAAATGAAAGTCCAAAGGCACAGTTCTGATGGTGGGTGAACAAGGAATGCCGAATGATCAACAGCCCCTTTGGCAACACAAAGGGTATGTGTACACAGAGCTGAAGAAAGTAGACAGTGAGTCAGCACCCAGCCAGGTGAGTCACGGGTGATGGGACAGCTAACCATCAAAGCCCCTCCTACAGTAATCATGCGCCTCCTCACCAAGTCCCACCACCTCTAGGGGAACGGCCTGTACTGAGCAGAGAGTTCGTCCTCTCCAAGCTATTTAAACAAATGGTGTCATTTGTTAATCCCTGGCTGTGGCTCACGGTGAGAGCAATAATTCTTTATTGAGATCTGAGCTCTGACTAAATGCAGAGATTCAGTTTAGCAGTTTGGGGAAAGACTCCCCTTGTTAGCTGGTATCTTCCTTCTTTCCTTCCCCAGGGAAGAAAGATAAAGATAACAATTCCACCTATCTTTCCCTTTTTCCAATTTGCCTTTTTCAATTATTTTCTGCCTTGGCTAATTTTCTCAGAGGAAAAAAAAATGTCAGGGAAATAGTGACAAAATAGAATGGTGGCAAAAAAGACACAAAGTTAACTTGGGCTAAGACCATTTGCAATGTCCCAGTAAGGAGAAGTACCCAGAGCCTAACTGGCCAGAAGTCAGTCTGTTAAGGAGGTCTCAGGAAGTTGGGAGACATGATACAGGTGGTTTGGCCGGACTTGAGACCCTCAGCTTCCCACCCAGATTGAACTGGCCAGCAGCCTAACCACACTTTGCTCAGAGGTTGTCAAGGGGAAGTGCTGCATCACTGAGATACAATGAGGACCCGCACAGCTTGGGACTAGTCCGTTCTGGTGGCTGGATATAGAACACGGGATGGTTTTAGAGAGACAATGTATGACTAGAAGAAAAATGCTAATAAAGGAATGAAATACCTCATGCAATTTTAGTGGGATATATTACAAAACTAGAAAAAAGCAAAAATAAAGGTTTACAGCTGTACAGGGTCTGGCAGAAGTAAGGCCTGCTTGAGTGTGGTTGGTAGGGCAATAATATAGCTGTAATAACTTACAGTGTTAATTTGAGCCTTTCACCTAAAATGTCACATGGTGTGCTTGAGTGTGATATTGTTATGTTACAGAATTACATACTTACGATTTTGTAATGAAAAAGGGGCGCTATTTGTGTCATACCCTGTTTAATAAGTTTCTGCTTATAATTCCTTTTTTGGAATTTCTGGCATCAAAGAGCTTAGAAGGCTCCAACCTGCTTAGTGCTGAAGAAAACAAAAGGCCTTATATTTCCCACTTGAAATTTCATCCTTGGGATCTGCTACACAACTACCAATAAGGGCCAGGCTGGGAGAAGCTCAAACTTCTCACATTTCCCCAGTCAAATAATAACATGCATCAAAAGAATCCATCGTTTGCCATCCCGCTGGACCCTACATCTGTTTCACAGTGTAATGTGAAAAAGAACTTGAGAGTTCTCATCTGAACACCAGAGCAGCAGCTCACAACTAAGCAACAGAAACATGCACTGTCTCTCTCCACCTTCAGACCACAGTGTTCAGGCCTTGAGGAGTGTCCCCAAGTCACACCTGCTGGCTCAGGTCAAGTGGAACATCTCCAAACAGCATTCTAATAGGGGAAGGAGGTGGAGTCATAAACACATCCAGGTAGCCATGAGGTCAAAAAGCACCGATGTCGCCGTAGACTCATCCCCCAAGGTTGGATAAGCTCCAGGAGGAAAGGAGAACCCTGGGTGGATAATTTGGTTGGTTAGAATGCCATCCCCATAGGCCAAGGTTGGGGGTTCAATCCCCAGTGAAGGCACAGACAAAAATCAACCAATGAAGTGGGACAACAAGTGGCTGTTTCTCTCTCTCTGTCAAATCAATTTTTTAAAAAGGAGGAAAGAAGAAAGCCTCTCATAAGAGGTGGTATCTCCCAAATCCCCTCAAACCCCTAATCACAGCTTACCTTGGTACGAGGTGGTTGAACTTGTAAGCACTGAAGACCTCTTGGATCCTTTCTTCTACTTTTGCCTGGGAAGGATGCAGGAGACAGGGGAGAGAAAACAAATACAGATGAGACCTCTATCTGCTTTTCTTCCTATTGCCACAAATGCCCACTGGCGAGAGCTACGTGGTGTGGTTTTGTCCGCGGCAGGACTGTAAGACTGAGTGCAGGAGCTCTGCGGGATGACAGGCATAGACAAGGAGAAAGAGAGAGAATGCCCTGGACCACGCGGGCATCACAATCGGCTTTTCCGGCACCCCGATCCATAATGCCCAAACTAATGGCAGTCTGGCTCCCTGGCACCGCTTACTCGGGGAGCAGATAGATGAAGGCAGATGCATTTCGCTTGAAAGATTGATCCTCGCCTGCTCTGTGAAGTTGTTTAGGTGTTCATTTTATTGGCCATTCTCAAATACGCAATTAATTCATGCCAAGAGTCATATTTCTTATGGTTTAAGTACAGATTTAAATACAGACTGAACAGAATTAAAATCCCCTAAGGGATTTAAAAGAACATCAGTCATGGAAACAGGAAAGAAATAGCATATCTGTTCATTGGTTCTACGTCACTCACAAGACTAAAATGAAGGATCCACGAAAGCCAGGTCACCAAAGAAACCAGGTCGCCTGTGTCCTCTGAAGCCCACACCATAATGTAGTCACACAGCACAGCTCCTTAAGAAACAGGTTACAGCAAAGTGGGAGGGGGTGGCTAACAGGACACAGGGTTTTACCTCCTTCGGCATCCCTACACTGCGGTGAGAGGTGCCCTCACTGAGATTTCCAGATATATAATAATGTCCTCTCTGGGAAAATTTTTAAATGTATTATTTATTTATGAAACACCCACTGAGTCAGAGCTTCTCGTCCCTTTGACAAATGTGCTGGAACGATTTGTGATGATAAGGGAAGTGATGTGAATCATCTAAAATGGCAGCCAATCTAAAACTCTTTTATATGTGGTTTTAGGATATGCTTTGATATTTGCCTTTGAACATAAGTTTGAGGGATGATCTGGCTAAGGAAGTACAATACTTCAAAAAACAGTCTGAAGTCACTCTAAGACCTTGATTCAGGAGGAATAAGAAAGTTGTCCCAGATTCCTCATCATTCTTTTTCCATTCTGGGCACTCACACGGTGTAACAGGGTGCAGAGTGAGGGGGGTTCCCCGGAAAAACACCACAGCCCTTGGCTGGCAGATGGGGAGAGTAGAGATACTTTGCATTACAATGGCAAGTGGATATAACCATGTCTTTCCTAAAAAAAACTGTGCTACCACCTCGGGGCAAAAAGTGAGTATGTGACTGCCAGAATGTATGGTGGCTTGTGACATGGCCAGGGGTTTGTACAGAGCCTGTGCAAGAGGCAGGGAGGCTGTTCCCTGTGTCAATGAGCCACCCTTGCCTTGACTAGAGACGGCAGCCAAGAGAAGGTAGAGCAACACGGGGAAACTGTCAAATGCAGCTCATTGTGGGAGGAGTCGGAGAGGAGGTCGTGCCGGAAGCTCCGGGTCAGGATGTAAACCAAGGGTGGGCAGCCATGAAGGGAGCACCATGTTGCTGGTAGTGAGCAGAGCAGCCATGTGGTTTGGAAAGGTGTAGTAAGCAGGGAGCCATGAGGAAGGAAAGCAATGATACAGCAGCTACGCGAAGGGAGGAGTAAGCAAGCAGCTATGGCTTGTAGTCAGGATCCTACCATGTGGCCTGGTATAATAAGGAAGGAGACATGCCACTGCTCTGATCATGCCTGCCCTCGCTGACTCCAAAGCCATCAAGGACCCTGCCTTGCAAGATGCTGACCTGTTGCCTCACAGACCCAGACTCTATCTAGATTCTTGGGATTTCTACCTTTCCTGGACTTCACCATGATCCAGTGTATCACCAGCACATGCTTTCTTGGCCTACAGCACGGAGGCTGATGACAATGTACCCCAGATCCTGAAGGAGGGAGCTGCTGCAAAATGGTTTCCACTGCTGGCTTAAACATAGATAAGGATATAGGAAACTTTGGGGGGTTTTGGCTTATAGCCTTTGGGGAAGCAAGGCAAATGCTAGGTCTCGGGGAAAGAGCAGGGCTCTGAGCCAAAATGCTCCCAGCCCCTCCAAGGGGGGAATGTTGTAAATAAAAACCTGTTTCTTCCAATACTAATTGTGGGGTTATACACCAAGAACAAGCCCCTGTCTGCTTGGTTACAATGTGTCTAATATAAAGCACCCGCCTAAATGGAACACAGATGCATTTCTCAGCTGTGCCTTCCTTAACTGAGAGCTGAAAGGGACAGAAAAAAATATACAAGAAAAGATGTGCTGGTTAAGTGAATTGATGAATTCTGAATGAAATAAAAGCAAGTTGGAAGAAAACTCACTTCCCGTACCCAAACACAAGCTGATTCAAATCCATACGACTTAATATCCAAAGGCTAATTAATGGATGAGCCCATATCCTCCTTGGCATTCTGACACTTGGACTCCCAGGAGAAAAGCTTCCAGCCAAGAACTCCTTAACGAAAAGTCCCACCTTCAGTTCCTACTCGGGCAACATCAGCATCTAAGTACTAGATGAGGAAAATGGAGTTTTATTTCTAAACTAAGATACTTGACAGAAACGCAGGGGTATGTCATAAAGCAAAGTAGGAAATGCTTAAAATATTCCCAGTACAGTGTCATTTCTCCTTGAATTTTCCTAATCCCATTTCCTAATCACATTCTTCAGAATGAACAAGTGTTATCCCCATGCAGTTAGTAACTGACTCTTGTCTGAAAATCTAAATTATGAATTCTATTAATACCTCAGTATTACAGGTCAGCTTTTCATAATAATGGATAAATAAAGATTCACTTTACTTTCTCTTAAGAACTGGTATATTTTTCTACTAGTTTTATGAGATAAAATTCACACACTATTCAATTCACCCATCTGCAGTACACAATTTAATGGCTTTTAGTATTTTCACAGAGTTGTGTATATATTTCCCCAATTAATTTTAGAACATGTTCACACCCTAAAAAGAAACCCTGTACCCCTTAGGACTCACCCCCAAATCTCCATCCTCCCAGCTGCTGCCAATCACTAGTTTGCTTTCTGTCTCTATAGCTTTGCCTATTCTGGATACTTCATATAAATGGAATCACACAATATATGGTCCTTTGTGACTGGCTTCCTTCAGCATAATGTTTTCAAACTTTATCCTCATTGCAGCATGTGCCAGTACTTCATTTCTTTTCATTGCTGAGTATTATCCCATTATATGAATACAAGTATATCACATTTTGCTTATCCATTCATCAGTTGATAGGCATGTGGGTTGTTTCCACTTTGGAGCTATGATGAATAATACTGCTATAAACATTTCATTTCTCTTGGGTACATACCTAGAAGTGGAATTGCTAGATCATGTGGCAACTCTACGCTTAACTCTTTGTGGAACTGCCAGGCTGTTTTCCAAAGCAGCTGCACCATTTTACATTCCCACCAGCAGTGCATGAGGCTTCCAACTTCTTCACGTACTCACCAACACATGTTATTACCTGTCTTTGATTATAGCCACCTTAAAAGGTATGAAATAGTACCTCGTTATAGTTTGGTTATATTTTCCTGATGGCTAATGATATTGAACATGTTTTGGAGGCTTACTGGCCATTTGTGGAACGTCTTTGAAGAAATGTCTATTCAGATACTTTATTCATCTTTAAAATTAGATTATTTGTCTTTTATTACTTGAATTGTAATAGTATCTTACATAGCCTAGATACAAGTCCCTTATTGGATACATGATTTGCAAAAATTTACTCTCATTCTATGTATTTTTTAGGAACTGGTATATTTTTTCATAGAAAAAGATCACCTAAGAACACACAGTATGGTTTTTAGCATACAACTTTACACATAACATTTATTAATAAGCCTGAATTGGTTTTTGACAAATAATAATAGATTAATACAGAAATTTTCAAGTTCTCATCTGAGGAAGAAAATGTCAAAGTAATAACCAAAACATGCAACATCCTCTTTTTGCCTCCACTTCTCCCAATATAGCCTGCCAGTGTTATATAAAAGCATTCTTTAAATGTTCTGATTTGCATAGCAGGAGGAAAAGGAAAAAAAAAAACTAGCTGAATATAAAAGAGTTAACAGAACAGGCCTGAGACTGCTATGCTTAGAAAGGCCTGTTTGAAAGGTAGACCCTTGGCTGGTGTCTGGGCACCTGAATTTCCGGAGAGTTCCCGCCATTCCCCAAAGTGGCGAGAGGGGCTCACTGTGCCTAAACAGCATCGACAATGTGGTTTATGCTGGACAGCTACTTTTCTTCTGGAAGTTTGGAATTTGGGAAGTGTTAGGCAGAGGGTACCTATGTGACCAACCCCTGGTAAAAGGAAAAGCGCCAAGCCTCTAACAGGCCTCCCTAGCAGACAACACTTCACATGTGTTGTCACAATGCACAACTCAATGGAGGAATTAAGCCCACCCTCTGTGATTCCAGTGGGAAGAAGAATCTTCCTGGAAGTTTATGCCTTGTTTTTTTTCCAGGCTTCACCCCATGAGCCTTTTCCCTTTGCTGATTTTGCTTTGTAGTTTTTTGTGTAATAAATCAAAACCATCAGTATGACTACATGCTGAGTCATCTGAATCTTTGCATTGAATCAAACCTAGGGGTGGCCTTGGAGACCTTCAACACATTAGTAAATTTATAAACTTAGCCTCTGGGACAGAATTAAGGGAAGTAGTCATAACAACCACACAATATCTATCAGCAAGATCTATAATTAAATTCCTTTAAAAATTATAAAAATCCTCACTTAAAGAACTGAGAGCTAACTATTAAAAAAAAAGAAAACTAAGTCGCGACAAACTCTAAACACCAGATAGTTCCCTAATCGGAACACAAAAAAACCAAAAGCAGCTTCAGTACAGGGATGCTAAAGAATGGCCACTTTCCCTGGCCTCTCGTTTTATCTTGGATTTCCATGCTTCCTTTCCATCCCAAAGGAATGGACTATTCTCCTCTAGCTAATGTTTCCTTTCTGC